GTCTGTGGCAGCAAGTGTTGCTGCTTGACTCCTACTCTTTCTAAAGCGCTGCGTGCACTAAAAGGAGAAAATGTTCTGTGAAAGTGAAGTATCACATAAACCTAAAAGAGACGCTTTTTCTAACGGCAGAATGAAGAACAAGTTGTGGTATTTTGAATTTGCCACTTCAGAAACCATCTCTGCTTCCTGCAAAAAACTGAGCGAAAACTTAACAATCGAGGTGAGAGCACAGCACACAAGTTTGCTACTTTGAAATAAGTAGCCTCGATACAAAACAGCAATCAGAGACAGCGCACTGATATTTCACTCTAAGTGTGCTGTACTGTCTCCAGTGTTGCGGTACTCCCCTGGATCTCAGTGCTGTGTCTCTTGAGGGTGTTGCTATCCTAAACATTCCTAGCATGCATGGTGGGTCCAACCTGTGGGGTGAGACCAAAAAAGTGGACACTAAGGGACTGACGGCGCAGGAAGAGCCGGAGGTGATCGTCAATCCAGAAATCCTGAAAGTGACTTCCCAAGGTATTTTGCAGTTGACCTGTATTATTCAGATGTCTGATCTAACAGCAGTGGTCCTGAGAGAACACAATGAAATGAATGAAATTATAATTAGCAGCAAGTATAAAGTTTACCTAAATTCATCCTCACCACAAGCCTCATCTCCTGACCTGAAGTCACGGCTCTAATACACAGAAACGTGCAATAATATGTTTATTTATTTCTGATATTGTAACGATTTCTTGTCAGCAAATTAGACATGCAACAACTGACAACCAGCAACATCGAAAAATAAACAACGTCAGACGGATATAAGCTAACATTATGTTTGCTTTAGTGTCCTAAAGATTACATTTTCCCTTTGTTAAATTCCTTCCTTCAACATATGGAAGTTTATTCACTATGTGAATGTTATCAGCAGCATTTACTGATAGAAAAGTTCAGCTTATCCTCAAACTCACATCAGCATCAGCGTCATTGGACAGAAGTAAGGTTCACTGACTCATCGACTCACCATAGACACATTAGACTTTTCACAAAGTTTAACCTGTCACCAACTCCTTTATGAGTCTTTTTACGAGCCACCAGCAGTGTGTTCATTAAGTACTTATCTCTCTTCATCCATTCTGTTGGTATATATCCAGAGTATATAAACTTACTTCCTAGAGGAATTTCACCATTAAGAATGTGTTGCGGGCACCATATCTCTCTCTTTGATAGTTTTAAATAACCAGACAATCCCAAAATACACGTTAGTCATTTGCATTTTAATTTCCAAATTTTCTCCAAAAGACAGGGGGTTAGTGCTCTAGTCTAGTTAGTGCTCTAGCAACAGTACTAGAGGGTGTAATAAAAAATAAAAATCGATTTATTCCAACCAAACTTCCTCTGTTTCTAAATTACACAAATTATAAAAACAGTCCAATGAAACTGGAACCCATATGATGATGTTTGGTCTAACTTTGAATGTGGAGTTACTGATTTTTCCGGCCACTTGAGGGCAGCATAACCCTGTGTACGTGAATTTGACCCCTTTAAGGTCATCTATGCTGTACTATACTGTACTTCTGTCCATCTCCATATATTTATTCTTGGATTCTACTACAAACATATTTACTACATAATTCACAGTTAAAGATAATCCCTATTTATCCTATTTATTTGTAGCAGCCCCTCTTCTCTCTTTGAAAGCGATAGTCCATTTAAGTGTTTAACTTTTTTTTGACTTGCCAAAATATTAACACTTAAATGCATGGTTTTAGTGCATACATACAAACAAGTACCTGGTGCTATTTGTGTAATCTGGTTATTGAACTTTATGATACCGAGCCACCAGAATAGCAAGCCAAAATTTCAATGCATCTGTATTCTTATCTGCAAAAAAAAAATGTTTATGTGCTATCTTCTTTTGATTGTACTGTAATGTCCCTCCATCATCTTATCAGAAGATTTCAGCATTCATTTGAAGTAGGCCCAATTTCTCACAGAAGGGATGCTAAGTTTCCACGTGCTTCTTCAGTGCTTGAATGACACCATGCTAACATTAGCCAACTTCCCAGAAACGATGACGCATACAGGCTGAAAGCTGTTGACATCTCAGCTGAAATCTTAAGAAGCAGAAACCAGCTTCTGCAAAAATGTTGGGTTTTTTTCTTTTTCTTGAGGTTCTCTGCACTGGTGGTTAGTTATGGTTTGCTTCTCAAACCTGTTTCCTCCTAACTATTCATCTCTATGCTGTCAGCCAAGACCTGAGTCCAACCATCCTGCCACTGTATGCACAGAGAAACTTGTGCACGTAAACTGCAGTTGTTTGCTGGTGCATGATGATTATACATTATGTATTATTGGTGTGCTTCAAACCGCTGCTGTTATCGATCTCCACTCTGATGCACATTAAATATGAGAAGTGGCATCTGCCTCAGGCCCAATCTTGTCTTCCTTCTCTGGACTGGTTAGCCTCTGCTTTCTTGTCAGACCTCAGTGATCGGCGATTAGAGGTGGTCGGCCTTGAAGGAGCGATGGAGATGGGCCAGATTTACACTGGACTCAAGAGCGCGGTGCGGCTCGCGAAAACGTCTCAGATCACCATCAGGTGAGGGGGGAAAAAAGGCACATGGACATGTTCAGACATGACAAGGCTGGGCTCTCAGCTTCAACAGTGGGTCATAGTTAGGGATCATTATTAGTTAATTTACATAAGAAGATACATTTACATTTTAATGACACATGACCATCCTGATGCATTCTGTTTATCCCTCTCTACACGTAGGACAAAGAAAGCATTACCAATGCAGATAGATGGAGAACCGTGGATGCAACCTCCCTGCACGGTAAACACTGCACAGGCACAGAAACACAGTGGCTGCTTAATGTAATGAAGTCACATGCCTGAAATGCCTGATTTTATTTTATTTTTTTTAATTTACAGATTCAAATCACACACAAGAATCAAGCCTGTATGTTGATGGGTCCTCCAGCCAAACCATCTGGCTTTTTCAAATGAAACAGACTGACGACATGCAAGTGTTTGCTGTAAATAGACAACTGACTCTTTTTCTTTGTAACATAAAATCAGTTTGGATGTGTATGCTGTAGAAAAACTGCATTGTGACAGTCAAAGTTAGGATAACTATTTCAAAAGTTCTGCATTACTGTAACACATAAACTAAGCATGGCATGATACAAATACAAATGTTATGGTACGATAAGTTTGCATTGTGGCAAAAATGACTCTGACCAAATTTTCTCAGTGTTTTCTATCAATACTCAACACTTGCTGTGTGAGTGCTAAGTGGAAGTGCTGCTCTGTAGAAACTTAAAGCAAGCTGAATATCATGCGAAGAGTAGAGTATTCAGCTCCATGTGCCTTTATTAGCTGTTCTCTTCATTATGGCTTAGGTAGACGAACATACAGGCATGCACTTTGAGCATAGACCATGTAGTATTGCTGTTTCGTTGTTGTTTTAAAGAAAGTCAGAAATATGTTTGTGTGAATTTGGAACCAAGACAGAAGAAAAGACAAAGCTATATTTCAGTGATGTTGAAGATACTTGAAAGTGTTTTTGGGAATAGCAAAGAGGCTGCATGTTGATTCACTGCCTGCTGTTCCCGTGTGTGTGTTTGTGTGCATCAGTATGAGTGTGAGGGCATAAAGCTGAGATATGTTGATTTTAATTTGTAATTTGTAATGAGTTCAATTCGAACTTATTGGTTAAGATATGTTTAAACATGTTTATTTTTATTTAAATGCTTTATAAATCATATCATTCCAGTATATCAGAAGGATGTTGATGTAATAAGTGACTGTGTAAAGATTTTAATAAATCACCTGGACTTCAGTTTTTGTTTTCTACTTCTTACAATTCGATAATTTTTACATACCACAAGGGGGCATTGCTAACTTTTTTAGTCCTGGGTCATCCTCTCATCAAAGTCTCTCTCTGGGAAAGACTTTTGACTTTTTTTTTATCTTAGAGATTAATCTGTTTAGTGTCACAGATCAATAATCTGTTCAGATTTCCCCCTGCTGAATTTTAACAAGTAATAAAAACACTAAATTTGCAACTAAAGGTTGGTTTGAAAGCAACAAATGTTGCTGTCACAGCAGTGTGAGCACTAACAACACAATGACACACTTGTGGAAACTCTGTCAATGGCTGGTGGTCACAAAGGTTTACACAACTGTAATGCAAACAGTCGGCCACACAGAACATTATGTAAGACCCCAGGTTTCTAATGAAATTTACACACGATTATTTCTGCAAGGCACATTTGCTTTCTTTTTTGCAGCTTCTCCCTCATTTGAAATAACCCCAATTGATGAATGAGCAAATAATCAAAGCAGTTTTTCAATGTTATTAAAGAAAAATAAGCAGAATCGGTTTTTTAACTTTTAACAAAAGGATAGAAAATCATCAGTCAACTTATTATATTGGATTGATTCATAATGCATGGACTGGTAATAAACATAAATGAAAACCTTCCTGCGTCACCTTATCAGAGGATTTAAATCTATCCAAATGGTCCTGCTGCCTGGGTTCAGATCCAGCACTCATTTGCAGCAGGCTTAATCTCTTTTGGCAAAGACTCATTAAGATTTCTAAAGACAGAAGGAAGCTGAAGTGGGTGATCCAACATTCAAACTGCTACCAATTAGTATGAGAAGCTGAGGTATTTCAGCTGATAATTTTTGGTCTGTTAAAAAATCAGAAGTATCGTTTTGTCCCATCAGTTGTCCCTGTAGTGAAAATATTTAGAAAATATTAGCAAATAAGCGGAAACTCCGTCTTCTTTTCTGGAATTTTTGGATTACATTTTTACCTACTGGTTGATTTTCTTTCGACTTTCTTTCTTTCAGCTAAGAAACTAACGGCATTTATTTATTTTGTCTTGATAAACACTGTTTGCTGTTGTTTCAATACGAAACAGAAAAGATCCGAGGTGCACTTGAAGGCACCGCGGAGGAGGCAAGTCTCTGTTGCTATTGGCACTCATTTGTGTTCCTCAAAACAGTCCCCGCCTCCAAACTATTCAAAGGAAACAAGAGAAATTGTAGTTGGCTCCACGCTGAAGCTCCAAATTCGATCAGCATCTCCCTCGGCAGGTTTCAGACTCTGTGGGAGGACACCAAGAAAGTTATTTTTACTTTTTTCAGTTTTCATTTTCAACAACAATGACGTTTAGGAGGCTGAAGAAGGTGAACTCCAATGGACCGGACAGCGGTCCCGCATCTCAAGACGACATTTATTTCCCTTCGTCAAAGTCGGACAGCTGCAGGACTATGGACACACCGAGCAACTCCTCGGAGGTTTACAACTACAAGACCCTGGCTTACTCGGGGGGGACGCTGCCCAGAAACTACAAAAAGGTATTGCTACTGTTCCTTTTAAAAGTTTATTAGCTGAATGTACCTGCAAAAGTTTATTTTTTTGGCAGGTAAACTAATAAATTAAAGTTTTATTAAATTTATTTAGTGCTTTTTTAACTTACAAGGCAAAAATCATTTACACAGTAATTTCTGTATGTTTCCTATTAGTCCTTTTATTATTTAAGCAGAGACTGTAAGCTTATTAAAAGGGGTTATCAAGTTATTGTATCCAGTGAGTGGCTGGTCGGCGCCACACAGGACATCTTATAGCAGCCCATCTAGGGGCAAGGGTGCCCACCCAGACTCTGAATCTTATGTTGCATGAAACAGACTTCGCCCATGTTCTCTATGCCTTAACATCTTCATTTAGATGAAAGTGATCTCTAAGATTAAACACATGACTCATGACTGATAAGAGTTTTAGTTGAGAACAGGTAGATTGTTACAAAAGCAAATTTGCATTTGATGATTCATAGAAAGTTTGTCACTGTTGTCATTTTAACAGTAAGTTGCATCAGAGCTACAGGATGCGCTACAGAGTCCGGGGGGACGTGCTTATTTGTTTAAAACTTACAGCAGTTAGTCACAGCATGCAGATCACCTGCCCGGATCTTTCGCTTCGGGCAGTTTGTCTTCTTCCTTCCCTGAGCTGTTTTGCAGTTAGGGACAGCCGTTGACTTTGGGGCAGGTAGGTGGGGGTGGGTCAGCATGAGGATCAGTGTGATCATTGTTATTCACATCACCTGCCGTGGTTTGAATGTTGTGGCTGATTGTGATCTGATTGGTTATAATTTGGCCCTGAGTCTTCTTATTTCAGGAGAAATGATTTTAACCCGTGGCCTACATATTAGTCTGGATTTTAGGAACGGTTTCAGACAGCCCTCATCCTTTAGTCCATGTTGCGTAATGCTTAATGTTTATACTGTAAATTTGTTTGGCTACTGCATCAGTCGCTTTTATTTTCCTCTCATGAAGCTGATTTCAGTGAATTCTGTTACTCAACTTGCTTTGGAGTTTCTGCCCAAAGAGCACATCAGAGTTGGAAAAACTCCTTTCACAGTGCCCTGTTGTGACTGAGGCATAGTTAAACCCACACATACACGCTAGTGCGCCGGGTTACAACACAGCATTGTGTACACTCGGGGATTGAGATCCTGCTCGAGCCACCCCTGTTGGTCTCTCTGGATATTTGGGAATAAATGCACTCATTGAGACTCCTCTGGGTCAATTCTGTAAGTGTTGGGACATAAAGAAAGCAACATTTTACTACCCAGAGAGACTGTAGCACAAAGCAGCCTTTCATTGAAGCAGGATTTGAAAATGATTGAGCTGGAACAGAGGTGGATTGATTCAAGTGATTTTAGTGGAGCCTTCTGGACAGATACCTGCCTTATTTACACAGTTAGGTGGGGCGGGGACCTGAACTGCTCCTGCTGGTGAGTTGGCTTTTCTCTCAATGCTGTTATTGTGCTCACCTCTGTGTCTTATTTGCTTCTTTTAATAGACTGAACTTGGTGTAAACAGCGCTGCAGTTTTTAGATTGGTTGACAGTTTGTGCCTGAAGGCAGCCAATTTGCTGTTATGCTTGTAGGTATGCGTGCAACTTGTTTTGATGTAATGAGTAAACAGAGCAGCAGTCGCACATTTCTGGTTTCGTCAACAATATCTCCATGCTGGTATGCAGGTTAAGTAGCTTAACAATACCAAAACACTCTTGGCTCATTATTCGAGACGACTGGATGGACTGGCCACTGATCGCTGATGTGCTCAGTAGGTGTGCCTAGGAAATGCCCGGAGGGGGAGGGGGGGAAATCCTCATGAGTAAACTTGAAGCTACGCAGGTGTGTGACATGCTTCACATCTTGTTTCGTTTTCTCCTTGCAGGGTGGCGGCTTACAGAAGTGGAAACCCCTTACGCAGACGCCAGAACCACAAAGGTACAACATCCCTCATCTTTCTCTGATATTTTTTTTTTTTGGACTTTTTAAATTTTTCCCTCTCACTGTGCCTTCACATGAATTTTTTCACGATGGCATCTTCCTCAGAAAAATGATTCAGGGCGAGCAGCCTCATATCGGAGTGACTGGCAGTTGTTCAAACAGGGGGAACACTGATTAAAGCCATTGTTAAGGGAGGTTATAAATATTCATTGAGCCTCACTCCAACAGACCGCTGTACTGTTACTGTACATCTGCATGTGACGTCCACATGCTCCTGCTTACAGAGGAAGTCCTGTGCAGCCAGTGGAGGAGTTTTGTTATGCAGTTTAGTTAAGGATGCAGAGAAACACAGACATTAACCTCTCACTGACTTTCACTCTTCCTTCCTCTTGAATTTTGTGTTTGACGTACATAAAAGGCTGTTTTATGGATGCGTCAGAATAAACATCATTAAGCTATGTTCGAACGAGCTATAAAACCTCTAAAACCATAAGCCATACTTTTATTATTGGACTGTACTAGAATAGATTTGCACCATCGTTTATCTCATTCTGGGCAGCCTACTCCACGGTCCCTTCCCCCACTTCGATCTTGTGGTTCTAACTTAATCTGACCTGCTGCAATTTAAGAAGTGGGGAAAAAGAAAAATTCCACAACCTTTATTGACAGAAAGGTGATATAAGCCTCTAAAGGATATCCCCGCTCTTTAACATCTTACAGTGTCATACCCTGACCTTATCATTTCAAACTGACCATGTCTAATATAAGCACACACCATTGCATAAATTACAGAAACTAAAGCAACTACACAGACTCTGCTGGCTTTGAAGACTACGAGTTTAGAGATAAAACTAAAAAGCTGTGATTGTGGTTCATGTAACCCCCATCAAATTTAAAAAAGGAAAGGACATTTATGCCTCTGCTGTGTTGGAAACAGTGAAAACTTCTCCTTAACTATATCCTAGTGTTCAAGGCGACATCTATAAATGTCCTATTTTGTCCAAACTGTAGTATAAAACCCATTCATCCGCCCATTGTCGTAACTAAATGTCCCATTCAGGGTCGTGGAGTTGATTCCAGCTACAATTGGGTACACCCTTGACCCC